GGGGGCGCGGAACTAAAAGGGCTTTCAGCAGCATAAAATATAGTATTTAACAAATAAAGTACTAATATGATTTTCATAATGGACCTCTCAATATAAAACTGAAAGCCACATGGACTTCAGCTAAAATTGAAAAAAAAAAAAAAAAAAACCACATAGACTTGGATAGAGTTTGAATAAGACATTAACCTATACAAGATTCCCGCATACACAAGAGTAGTCTCAAGGAAATAACTTAGTAGGATTTCAATTGAACAAAGAAAAGGTGAAAGTAGTAACTATTGTAGGTGAAAATTGGAAAATTTAGAGATTCTAGCTTTTAAAAAAAAGGCCTAGAACCTCTAAAACAGACAGTTCAGTCTGAAACATCTAAAGACCACACAAAATATTTCCCCACAGTAAACATGAATAAGATATGAAAATCAACCAAAGAATGAAGACATGCATTGGCCACAAACACACAGACACACACACACGCGTATATATCCATCTCTATCTATATGTTTTACGACATGCAAATTTTTTACGGAATAAGAAACAAGTCAGCAAACAGAATTTTAGTTGCCAAAAAAAAAAAGAACGCATTCGTATGCTACAAAGAGACAATTGTTGATATTTCATTAAGATAGAGAACTAAAGGAAAAAACATATGAAGATATATATGTGTATCTTGAATCTTACCCCAAGGAAGAATAGGAAACTCCCACCTTTGTTTTGGAACCGTAATGACATATGAAGCTACCTGCAAAATAATTGAAAACACAATTTAAAAAAAAAAAAAAAATCTTTTAAATGAAAAAGGTTTTACTCAAGAAATTATATGACAAAAAACAATTAACTAAAATACCAAGGTAGAAGCAGCAAGAGAACAGGGAGAACAATATCCACTTGACATCTTCTCCTTTTCATAAAGGAGATCCATAATGTCCATGCATGCTTCAAAATTCACAAGGTCTCCAACTCTTGCAACTTCCCTGAACTCAAAAATACAGGAGAAAAGATGTACCTAAATGAAACTAGTCATTCATCACAACAACAAAGTACAAACATATCAATCAAATCCCTTCCGCTCTTCAAATTTCACAGAATAAAATTGTACGAATAACGAACTTACTTAAGCTGAACCAAAAGTTCTTGTACGAATAACGAACTTACTTAAGCTGAACCAAAAGTTCTTCAAGGAGTACAAAAGCAATATTTCCCACACCAATATCAAAATGCAAGACCTTTGAGAAAATATACAAAAGTTTGTATCATCTCAATTGCAACAAAGTAGAGCCAAATTTTTCATCCTTCATGAGATATACCTGCATCAAAACCACCTCCTATACAGAAATCCACATAAAACACAATGGAATCAGCAGACAATGCAGAGCAGAAGATTTCTTTTTTTTTTTTTTTAAATTCTATTAAAACATTGAAATGATAACTAGCTTACTGCTTCCAAGAAATCTCGATTTGTAAAATGTTGTTCCTTAACAACCTTGTCTCCCAAAGACTTCAAGGACTTGATGGACAGGGGACGAGAATTGTGTATCTAGAAATCATGATTAATGTTTATGGTAAAACAGACAAATGAGTAGCCATGAGAAATATTCAGCAAAATCCATAATGCTAAATAACGAGATCCTACTTTGCTTGAGATCCATATAGACACAAGTGCAAATAACTGCAAATTGCTCTCTCTCACAGGTTGCAAAAGCCAGTTCGCAACGTCATCGCCTGCTTCAAACCTACGAGCACAACACAGTGCTCTTATAACATTAGAGAAGCATAAAAACTAAGCGAAACAAAATGCATGATAACTTCTAATAAAAAGCCCCAAAATCAATCAACCAAACTATACGAGTGTGTGTGTGTGTGTGTGTGTGTGTGTGTGTGTACACTTATATGCAATCACTGAAAAGACTTCTTTGCTATTCAGACGGCTATATGTGTATACGCCTGTCAGTTTCTTGCTACCAATTTGACAAATATTTTCGTTTATTCTGATCTGTATTCCACTTCTATTATTTTCTCCACTTCGGAAGTATAGAAATCTATAAGAGAGTACATTTGACTGACATTATAAACACGAAATACACGAAATTTGCTGATAATTCTCATCAGTAAACAAATTAACTGAAATTAGAAATGCATACATTGAAAAATTAATACATATATATATATATATATATATATCTCGAAAACTTTTTTTTGTGTGTGGAATCAACAAGGAATTGTAGATTCTTCAGAAACAAAAAGCAAATTTCCAAATCAGAGAGAGAAAAAAAATCGAATCGCAAAAGAAGCAAACATTACCTGGCGAAGCAAGGGTAAAATCTATCGGCGAAGAAGGACAACGCTGTGTATTTGACGATCGGAATCACTTCCAGAATCTTCATTTCGCAATCCAGATTGATCAACCACAAAATGACCCAATTCTCAGCGAAAATTTTCAAAATTAAACGAAAAAAAATGAGAAATTAATCCCAATGAATTTCCATTGATTATGCGAAAGAAAAGGAAAACACAGATATCGAAAGCTTACACGAGCAGATTCTATGAGGAATTCGAGCAGATACGGCCTCAGATCCGAAACCTGTTCGTTCCTCATCTCATCTCCGTAGTGGACTTGAGAGAGAATGAGGGTTTCAGTTTTTGCGGGAGTTTTGAATTCAGTTGCCAAATTGAAGAGGCCCCTAAAGTTTTGGTTTTATTTCTAAAATAATCCGATATATTGAGAATTTTCAGTTTGGACCTTACAATTTGAAAACTACTTCAAATGAGACCTTAGAGGTGAAAAATTGTCAAAAAAAAAAAGAAAAAAAATCAAGATACAGTTTTCACATTCGACATATAAATGATCAACCTTGGATTTGACCTTGGACAAAAAAACACAATTAATCAATTAATCTAACTTGAATTTGATTTATGGCAAATAATGGATCCAGACTTCAAGTAAAACTAACTTCGGCCCCGTTCACCGATTCGAGTTTAGAATTTGAGTTTTGTTACAGTAAAAAGCTCTCATAAACAGTCATATCTAAATTTTTTTGCTATAGTAAAAAACTCTCACATAAAGTCACATCTCAACTCAAATTAAAAATTCAAATAAGCGAACTAAACGGACCCTCATCTTCAATTAGACTAGAGGCCTTTCCATTTCAAGCAGTGACGGAGGCAAGATTTTTATTCAGTGGGGGCTTAAATCTTTTGCTAAGTATTTTGTTGAAATAAATTTAATTTTTTAATTTTAAAGGGGCTACATTTAATTTACTGTAAATTTATGTAGACTTAGGTAGGGATAAAATTGATTTTTTACTCAATTTTGTAGGGCCTAAATTAAAATATATGAAGATTTGAGGGGTGATAAAATGATTTTCTCCATTATTGTGGGGGCTATATATTTGTTAGAAAGAATAAGAAAATATGTCACTTTTTAAAAGAACAAAAATTTGAGTGGGGTTTAAGCCCCCACTAGATGTAATGGCTCCGTCTATGATTTCAAGGGTTTACGTGGGTTTATATTATTTGATTTAAACCCATGTTTAGTTGTTAAAAACTGGTTTGAACTTGAACTTTAGTTAAAAAGTCCTATCTTAGGTTTTTGTGGGTTTAAACTTATTTGTTACAATATTTCTTAGGTAATTTTACACTACTAAATGCTAGTTTGACCTATTTGCTATAATATTTCTGATTTATCTACAGATTACATGTCGTTACACAGTAAACAACAAAAAATTGAAATTGAAACGACATTGATTGTTTAAGTGATAAACTAAGAGAGAGCAAACCATCCAATGATCCAATTGATCCAACTAATCCAATCCAATCCATAAAAAAAAAAAAAAAAAAAAAAAAAAAATCCAAAAACTATGAGAACGGATTTGGATGACATTTTCACAAATCCAATTAGATTAGATTGGATGTTCAACATCCGATTTTCAATCCAAATTTTGAAAATCCAATAAATAATACATCCAATAAATCTAATCCAATACAATGTATTTATCTTATATAAATATACTAGGTAAAACGTACATAATTGCGTCTCTAAAACGTACAACCTATACATATAAAACTTAATCGTGATCGCGACGTCCCAACATTAGAATCACTCACAAACGGTGCTCCTTAAGACCAAAGTCCCATAGATATTACTCCAATTGTAAATGAAGAAAAATGATAAAAAAGAGTGCATAAATGAATAAAACAAATTAATCAACAATATGGTGGTCTCAACATTGTCGACGGACATCCTACCTCCGTGTCTTGGGGAACCATTTAGAGCTCCTTAAAACCGGTCATAATGAAGAAAAAAAAATCGACAACAGAACATGTTTGGTATCAGTTCCGTTTTCATTTTTCACATTTTTCGAGACAAAAAAGTAAAAATTGTGGAGGAAAACGCGTTTGGAAAAAAAAAGTGAAAAAAACGAAAACAAAAACGATTTTCGGTTTAGTGTAAAATGACTTAAAAACTGAAAACGAATTTAAGTCGTTTTTCATTTTCAATTTTGAGTAGATGCCTTTTTTTTTTTGGCAAGTAGGTGTGGGCTTAAATGAACTAACGAAGTGCTCTTAAATTAAAAATAAAAATTATATAACTAAACGGAATTTTAGTTTTTTCTTATACTAAAAATAATTTCTTAATAAAACTACCAATCGCATTTTCAAAAACGATTTCTGCTAAAGATCAAAAACGTTTTTATTTATAATTTCATATAAAAAACAGAATCATTTTGAAACCAATTCCAAACACACCCCTAGCTTTCTCACTTAAATAATTGCACTGTAATGTGTTATGTATAGCACTAAAGCAGGTCTAACAAACTAACTCATAGGTACTGCGACGACGACAGATATATATTGGATGTAATCATGTATAACATGCCCACAAAATGGCCATGATAGAAACGGTCTGGCCATAATCTCAATGAAAAGTTAATAATAATTTTATATTTTTTGCTGAAAGTTAATAATTTTATATTGATTCCGGGCTACATACATGCATTCATGCATGAGGGTTTAGTATACAACACCCCTATTGGTGCTACTAGGGTTGGGGCGTACGTAATACTTGTGTTCCAAATAAACAAGTGGACCAATTAAAGAGCAATATTGCTATTGGACAAATACTTTAACAAACCTTAACTATTATAATTCAACTGAAAATGATGGGGCAACTACGTAATGAAGTCGTTTAATTAAAAATCAACCAACTTCTCTCTACACTCATCATCCGTTAATACTAGCTGTTTGTATATAGTTAAGGCTTTTTTTTTACGGACACCCTTTCAAATTTTTGAATTTGACTTTAGTCTTTGTTCTTTTTTTTTTCCTGACAATTAGCAAAATAGCATATGTTTTTTTTACGATTCTGATCATGTGGCCCAAACGTGAGCTTTTATTGAGAGTAATTAAGGTCATTTCTCAACCTATTTATTTAGTTATATTGATTTCAGAATAATCTAATGTGTTTGAACACAATTATTTATGATAACAACTCTTGATTTCTAAGAGTTATTGTCCTCAACAGACGTTTTAAGGGTGAGAAATGGTTTTTATTGTTCTCAACAAACGATGATCACATGCGCCTCACGTGATCAGAATCATAAAAAAAAAAAAAAACAAACAAACGCCATTTTCGTTTTACTTTAATTGCAAATGTTTTTAAGATGAAGAGATCAATTATTAAGAAAAAAAGGAATAAAGACCAAATCGTCAAATTCAAAAAGTTGAGGGGTGTTCATTAAAAAAAAAACAAAACAAACCTAGCTATTAATTAATACAGGAGAGAAGCTTCTTGAACGGTTTGATTCGCACATAAAACTACATGACAAAACCCGATCGAAACATTGTCCTTCTTCAGATTTGGAAACTTGACGTCTCAATCTTGTTATTTGAATTTTGGTCAAATCTTTCCGATAGAAAGAAGCCGCGGAATGCTCTAGCTCTTCGTAAAACTCTTACGTCTGCGGAGAGTATCGCCTTGACTGGCCTATGATCGGACAACTTTGACTCGCCTCTAGTGTAAAAATGTTGCTTTAATCCCTCTCCATACCAGATAATTCGATCACACCTAATTTTTGCGTTAACACAATAATATTGAATAAGTAATTTTTTTTCCCCGAGCACTTATAAGTAGTTTATAATATATATATATATATACGCATATTTACGAGAAGCGTGTGTATATTATATATATATATATATATATATACATACACATATATGCAATATGTATGAATGTGTATCAGTAGAATTACGTAATTACCATGCAGGAGCGCGCCTTTTTTCACCTTTACTGCGATGAATACCGCCAAAATAGATATCAGAATTTAGGCAATATTTGTAAGTGGGAGAAAATTTAATAGCTCCTTCATGCCAACCTTCAAATACTTGACCGTCCACGAGTTCTCTCCTCAGCTTCATCCAGAGTCCGAGAGAAATGCCATAAAGTGAAATTAAAAAAAAAAAAACAGGTACAGATTTTTTTCTACGTAAAGAGAGGAAAACTGGCATAAAAAAATCCCCTCACATACCCCAACTTAATATTAATATTAAAGAAAAAGTGAATTACAAAGCATCTGAGAAAAATAAACAACTCAAAATAATAAACAAACAAAAGATTAATATGAGAGAACCAATGAACCATAGATTAAGATTATGGGGGGGGGGGGGGGGGGAAGTTTTGCGGTTCGTACTTTATATTGGACGTCCATGTCAATATATAAATTAATGAAGACATAAACTACTAATTGAAACGACATGAATTTCTAGGCATCATTCATTTTACCGGCTCGAGTTTTCAGTTTTAAGTTTTTACAGTTAAAAATTCTCAGAAAATGTTACATCTAACTTTTTCTACTATAGTAAAAAGCTCTTAAAAAATGTCACATTTAAACTCGAATCTGCAAAACGAATGATGCCCTAGTATTTTTCTAATAAGACATGAATTGAAAGTTTTTTATTTCAAGCCATGAAAATTAATTTATTTTTCCCCTACTTTCTTAATTACTCGTTAGACAACGTGAATCGCCAACAACGTCGGTAAAATTTACCGACGTGGAATTAGTGATGTATATTGCGATTCGTGTGGTAGTGTACACCCAACTTTATTATTGAAGTTTAAGATTTAAATCTCCCAACCCTCAAATTAAAAAAAAAAAAGGATTTTAATTGTTTACTCCCAACGCTTACACACACATATATAGACATATAATATTTTATGCATAAAGTTATGTACTACCTGATCATTTTCTAACAAGGTGGACCAATCGCCTCTATCCACTAGCAAACGAGTCGTAGCTTCTGGCAGAGAAATTCTATAGTTCAAATCTCCAAGCCATATAACCCGACTGCATTGAACAAGACACAATTAGCTGACACCATCAAGATATTGATCCTTAATTAATTAAATACTACTTTTTGTCTGCAGGCTTTCTATTTGTTTTATTAACTCTTTTAATTATCATGAAGTCAACTTGTCAATTAACGGTTTAAATAAATACAGTTAATTTTAATAACAATAAATAGATTGTCTACCAGTAAACAAAACAGTCTAATTCGGACATTTTTATATAAAAAAAAAAAATTTGTCTAATTCGGACGTATTAACTACCCAATTGCAGAAAAAAAACAAAGAAACAGCAATTTTATTTTTATTTTTAATAATAATGGGGGCCTTCAATCTTCTGTCACCACAAATTCAAAGTTGGAATGAAAGAGGCAATAATGTAACCCTTGAGCTATAAATTTTATTGCTTAGTCCTGTCTTATTTTCTTGCTTTGTAGTGAAAGAAACAAAATTATTGACGAGTACTACATAAATAAAATAAAGAAATTATTTCATATGAAAAAACAAATCTGTTTGAACGGTTTTTTTTTTTTTTTTTTTTTTTTTTTTTTTTTTAATTCACTCATGATCTAGAATCTTCTGTGGCAAATCAAGCAAAGGGCCTCTTGAAAAGCTTGTTCTTGACAATATTTCCGTGACATTAGAGTTTCTATACTTCTCGTCTCCTTGTCTACCACCGGAAGCTAGATGGCTGCAAACAAAGCAGAAGCTTGTTTCATGTACCAGAAATCTCACCGACACAGAACCCTGCAAATTAATCAGGAGAAATTTTCACGAAGAATGAAAGACAAGAAATAAGGGTCTTTCTCTAGAGCAAGAAAACAATAAAACATAAAAGTGCATCATAACTTAAATAAATATATGTTCAAACTTACCAAAATAATATTTATAACTCGAAAAGAAAAATACTAGTTAAAAATTATATTAGTGATGCATAGGGAGCATATTGCTGATCATTCGAGACAAAACAAGAAAAACACCCCCCATAGACTTTAAGATGTGGGTCTCAGTACTTGTGGGGCCACATGCTATAAATTGTTGGAGGAGTCAGAAAATTATCTCAGTTTTTAATTATTATTAAGTATAGGCATATGCTTCTAGTTTTTCTTATAAAGTGAAAAAACTGAAGTTTTAGAAAAAGAAAATTAGAGATTAATAATGAAATATGAAAAGTTGATCAGTGGGCTGGTGGCTCCCCCGTTGATTGTCGTACGTTGGTTTTCTATCTATGCATGGATGTAACTTTAAGTAGAGAACGATGCCGATTATTTAACGTGTGTCCACAATTAATTAGTACTATTAATCCATGGCTTAAAAATAATTAATGGGCAAGATTATACAATATGATCAATTATTAATATATTTGAGTTATATCTATATATGTGTGTTGTATGATCCTACCTTATTCCCTAGACAGCCCATGATGCCGCAGCCTACACATGAGACACTCGGATGCTTAATAAATGGACGAAGACTACTTCGAACCCAAACAGATATCAATATCCCAACCATTTGCTTACTTATGACACATTGAAAGTAGTTTTGCATAATCTGACCGTCATCTTTATCCTCTTTGTTCTTGCCTCGGAAGCAGTGCTTCACTTTCTTGTTCAAAGCTTTTCTGATCAACGAATTCCATTTCATTGAGATCTTACGACTGTTCTCGGATCCTAGAACATTCTTTGCTTTAAGAGGCACTATTTCCTGAAACCTTCATACAATAAAATGAAACAAAATTTATTTGGCCCCATTTGGAGCATATGAGTCAGTCATTCTAATTTACTGACGGAAATTTTGTGAGAGAGAATTTTTGAATTTAAATTTTTTATGAGATAAAAAACACTATAGCAGAACCCAAATCATCGTTTATGTTTTGGACTTTCCTTTTTTTTTTTTTGGAGTGAACTTTAATAATTATTAATCCTTTTAAAACAAAGAAAAAAAAAAGAAAAGAAAAGAAAAGAAGATTTATTACCCAAAAACATGGACGTCACAGGAAAGATCAACCCAATCCTCTATATTCAAATCTTCATGTGGTTCAATCCCACCGACGTTCCATGTACTAACAAAAAACCTTACATAACACATGAAGAAATAAGAAGACAAAACAAATCAATATTTCGAGGACATTAAGTTTTATATATAAATGGAGAGTTTATAATTGAATATCAAGATATAATAATTAACGTACGTACTTGTACTTATGGACCTCCTTGTTATGATTGAAGATTGTATTGTCAAAGCTTAAAGATGGTTGAGAAAAATCACTTGAAGTTGTAGTTGTAGTAGTAGTATTTTCCAGCAAGAACTGATCGGAGTCGCTCGGAAAATCTGCCACAAAGTTGTTGCTTCCAAGAAGCCGCTTCTTGAGGATTTTGTTAGCGACTAATCTAGGCCACATCATGACCTAATTAAACATTAATGACACTAAAAGAAAAACAGAAGTACTTTTAGTTCTTGTAATAATTGTGAATTGTAGGCATGATAAAAAATGTGGAATTTCTACTTATGGAAGAGAAAAAGATGTACTTGTAAGTGCATGTATACTTGATCTTCTTGCTTGCCTGGGTTGAAGGGAAAAGAGAAAGACAGAGATGGTGTAATATATATATACATATATATATATAATATATATATATATGAAGATTATCTGAAAGAAAGATGAGAGAAAGAGAGAAAAGGATGAATAGAGAATGCCAACAGAGATAAAACGAAATATCGATAGAGATCATGCTGACAGGAGCTAGCATGCAAGTTGCCGAGGGAGATATCAGCTTTTTATATTAATGTGGCCACTTTTATTTATATATATTTTTTGGTGAATAAATTGATATGGCCGAGTTGAAGGATAGAGTATAATGTTGGTGTGAAATGTACATACATATATATATGTGTGTGTGTGTGTGTGTGTGTGTATAATATTATATTATTATTATAAAAGAGAGAAACATGAGGTACCCTAGCTAGGCGATTCTAGGGGAAAAAAACCTTTTTTCAGTTGTTATTAATTTTTTATATGAAATAAATTAACATGTTATTTAAATTTGATGTGATTTGTTGCTTAGATATAAATACTAACTGTCCATAAGTACTCATACCAAACAAACATATTATATACATGCACAAAAGAATTTACAATTATTATACTGTCAATTTGTTTTAATAATGTGTATTTTTTCATAAAAATCTAATTGATTTTGATATATTTAACATTTAAAGTTACGATAATAGTGCTCCTTAGCGCAGAACCTTTCTATATGTATACATTATATATACATGTCATCCGCGTTAATTTGAGTATGGGAGGAGAGCAAGTTGGCCGGGATTGGTCCATCCAAAATATATATATATATATATATATATATGTATGTATGTATGTATGTATATAATACATATATGTGCATATTCTGAAAATGATACATATGGGTGCTTGCTGCACTGCTGCTGCTGCTGCTTTTGCCCCAACAACTGGAGACCCAGGTTTTGCTGACGTGGCTCTGTTTGTGGCTATTTATAAATGACCCCATGGATCATTCATCCGCTTGGGTGACTTATTTCCATGTCATTTATTTGTTTTCCTTTTCTTTTTCTTTCTTTTGGCTTCCTATGACCTCATGCCTAAGTCAGCTAATTAGGGTTTGTTATAAGCTGTGATTCATGGGGTTCAGCTTTCTTTAATAAACCTGTAACAATAAGCTTTATTTTGAGATTGGTCCCCCAACTAAGGAATCAGATTACTGATTCTAAACTGAAATATGCATTATGCTAAAACTAAAAATAAAAAAAAAATTCTGCATATAAACGGTGCTATAGCGTATTGGTGGTGCTTAATAATAAAAAGTGCGCCCTGCAATATAAGACCTATAGATAAAGTTCACTTTCTATTTGTGATGATATTTAATACTGATTATGATGTCCCTTAGCAATTTTCTATATCGTGAAACAAGAATTTTAATCTAATTCTATCAAATATAAAACTAGGATCTGTAAACTCATAACAATACATGAGTACCCAAATTGTGACATATTGATAATGTATAACCACCAATCCACATTTGCCAATCAACAATTCGCACAATAAAAGTATAGTACCAAAGTTGACTAAATTACTTGAGATATTGGGTCTGTTACGTACCAATTCTATAGAAATATGAAAAATCATGACTTCTTTTGCTTTGATACGAGATGAGGTTACTAATTCCTCAAAAATTATAATAAACTGTTAAATGCATGATGAAATTTCAACCTTGTATTTCATATATACCCTAATTAAGAAGTTACATAACTGAATATATATATATATATATGGCTTTTTATATCATGGCAAAGAAAGAGAGCTAAAGTCAATTGGTGGAAATATGGGCCATAAAGGCCTGTGTCCCGGCAAAGACTTGTGTAGACTATATATATAAGCTGGACTGACGAGAACAAAGATAAATATTGCATCCCAGTTGTAATTCTGTCGTATTGTGTGACCTTGGAACAGTATCCGACCTACCCTGGACCATAATAAAAAAAATAAATAAATAATAATTAAAAAAAAAAACAAATCAAACTTGTATATAAAATTCAGGGTTTTTAACACATTTGTTCTCCAAATTTATCGTGGTTTAGCAAATTGTCTCCAAAATTTTTAATTTTAATAAGTGGCCGCCTCAATCTATAAAATTGTTGTAATACGCCTCATTTTAATAAGATTGTGTGAAATTAGTATCGAAAAAGCACGCTCAACAAAAAATTTCAACATCCCAATTCAAATATAACACAAATATTTCAATTTCTCAACTTTTAATCCTTTAAACCTAATAAAAAAATTTGAACAAATTTAGTAAAATGGGGTAGATTTAAACAAATTTATAAGTTTGGATGGTTGATTGTCAAAATTTAAAATTTAGGAGACAATTTGTTAAATCACGATAAGTTTAGGAGATAATTGTGTTAAAAATCCTGAAATTCATGACGATATGCTCTGAATGTACAAAACCTAATTGCTTCATACACTGATATTTTCAAATTTAAAGCCATAGCTCAAAGAACTAATTATATAAAACCATGCAAATTGGCAATTGATTTAAGATAACTGAGAACGACAGCCACAGATTAAGCCACAATGAGATTTCATTCTGGATAGAATCCCCAATTACTGGTCCTAATTCATGCCAGAAATCAATTTATTCTAATTCTATTTTTTTAATTTTATTTTATATTTAACAAATTATGGAATCCCTTCTAATTGGCCCAATCATTGCTAACGATAGGCGCACAGAAAGCAAAGCATGACCCAAAAGGTTTTTTCCTTTTGAAGAGTGGCCCAAGCAATACAAAGGGTCATCATATTTTTCTCGTATTAATTATGGGTAAAGAATTATTTATTTTTGTTTGTTTCTTTGTGTGTACGTCACTTTTATGTGTGGAAAATCAAGACAAGATTCATCTCTAGCTTTTATTATAGACAAATTGTTACCTGCAGCTTAATGATCATATATATAATAACATTAATTTTCAATTAATTAAGTATTGCTTATCCCAGTATTAACAGTACTTCAAACTGAGATTTTGTATACATGCATATATATATAAATGATTTTAATAGTTATTTTAATATTTATCTATTAATGAGTATCATTATTTTTAAGACATTAATATGACGGTTATAATAAATTAGATAGTTAATAAAAAAAATTATAACAATTATTGAGACCGAATTCTTATCACGCTACGTTATGAGATTTTTATATTTAATGATTACTACTGATAGAAACGTAACTATTGAAAATCAGTCTATATATTTTGGTGTGTATACATAAATATAAACCTCTAGGCTGCATTCTTGTTTAATTCTTTGAAATCAGAGATGTACACATATTAATATCCTAGCTGTGTGTGAATTATTATTCAGTAATTAGACACTAGTCTGCTTTATGACTAGTGTTACTCAACCAAACTTATTAAGCAAAACGGATCTAATTTTCACTTTAATAAAGTTGTAAAAGTGACGATTAATATTGTTTTTATTATGACTTGTGCAATATATGACATAAGATTGCACTACTGCCGATAAGACCCACTTCACCTTTCAAGTCTAATTAATTAAATATTTATTTTTTGGTGGTTGGAATTAATTTATACCCAATTCTAAGAGCTTCTAATTAATTTAATTGGCTATTGGGCTCGAGGAGGAGCTGTTCAATACAATGTGCATGGTTACCCTTTTAACGACGTTGTTGTCACTAAATTATTTCTACAGACCAGTGCAGACTTATAGGCGCCATATTTTTCTTGTCACTAAGATTCAGCGATGAATTTGTCGTTGCTAAAGGTCATGTGTAACGGTGCCAGGCCCTGTATCAAAATTTTTTCTTAGCCAATGACAGGTGCGTAACCTTTTAACAATGACATATATTATCGCCCCTGAAAAATGAAATAATTCAATTTATGAAGCAATTTACACCCTCTTATTTAGCATTGGAGTTTCCGTCAAAAAACTCCAGCAAAAGACTTGGCATTTACTTATTTAAATGAGTTCTCCTTTCTTAATCTCATTAAATCCTCTCGTTAACGTTCTAATTTGCATGATTCTTTTTTTATCCTATCTTTTTTTTTTAATTACGACAAAATCTCTTGTTCGACAAAAAGTCGATTTATATACAATAATCCCATTGTAGCGGGTATAGTTTAGTGATAAAAGTGTGATTCGTTCTATTAATCCATTAATAGTTAAAGGGTCCCTCGGTTTGATTAATATAATATCCAACGACGACAAATTAATTAATTTGAAAATTGTCTACATGGCCAAGCCTGCCGTTACCGCCTTTCCCCTCCGGCGTTTGCGTCGCGATCCCTGCCTTGTCCTCACGTCATTGCTCTTCCTTCGTGTTACGCCTCCTCCAGTTATTTATAAGGTCAATGTAGTCAGTTTACACGTGCCAATGCCCTTGATATCAAGACAATGTTGATTGGCCACTTCTAATGACTATAACCTCTCTGATGAGATCGACATTTAACAACTAATTTATCACTTTCTTATTGATAATGATGGGGTTGTGAGAGTAAACTAGATGAAAATTGTTGATTCCAATTTCAGGGAAAGATTGATAGATCTGGATATATATATATTGTGAGAAAGAAAATTGATCAAAGCGCCTAAAACGAAAAACCGGTTTAGGGTTTGTACGTAGTTGGAAAAGCTTTAATTAATCGAGAAAATCCTTTAAGTTTCTTCTTTTCAGTTTTTTTTTTTTGGTTATTTTTGCATTTGATGTTTAGCTTTTTATGCTTTAGAATTGTAAGATATTTTTCTTTTCTTTTTAATGATTTATTGATTATATATATATAAACTAGCTAGTAATAACAATGAATTAATTAGCAATCTGTGCTGGTGACCAGAAGGGATCTGGATCCGCC